CAGCAGCGAGGAACTCCGCCAGCGGTCACCCCGGAGGCCCCTCGGCCGCAGCCAGGCCCGGCAACAGCTTCCCTCCAGCCTCCCGAGAGACGGGCCGCCCAGCCCCAAACGCCCCGAAATTCCCAGCCCGCCTAGGTCCTGAGGCGAGGTGACGTGTGTTGTTCTAAGCCGCTCAATTCGGGGGGTGATTTTTATACAGCAATGGAAGGGCTCTCTCCTGAGATGCCAGGACGTCAAAAATAATCGACAATAAGTGAACAGAATGGCTGGTAAACTAAACAAATCAGAGGGCCTCAGGTCCCCCCACAGGCGGGTTCGCCTGCTCCCCGCCTTCGCCTTTGGTGGACACCCCGACGTGGGGACCGTGACCACGTGCACGCTGCACGCCTGAGGGGTGCGGGGCTCGAGGCCGGCCCTGGCCGGCCCCTGCTGTCCGTCCCTTCACCGGGACCCACCTGAGCAACCTGAAGTCCTGCTGGCGGGAGAGCGTGTGGATGCCCGAGCTCTCGGACAGGCCGTACAGCTCGAAGACGGGCATGTCGAGGCTGAGGAAGTAATCCCGGGTGGCCTGCGGGAGCCCCAGCCCCATGTTGAAGAGCTGCAGGCAGCGGTGCAGGCCCAGGAACCTCCGGGCGTGGTTGAAGGCCAGCTTCCTGGCCAGCCTGAAGCACAGCGGCTGGTAGATCTGCCTTGAGGGGCAGACACAGCAGCAGAGCGGGGTCTCGGGACGCCCCGCCTCGGCCCCACAGGGACCCCCCTGCAGGCAGCCGCGCGCCCGCCTCACCCAAGCATCCGCCTCCTGTTGGTCTCGAGCCCCAGCCCCATGGCCCACTTGTTGACCGTCCTCCGGAACGGGGTGCAGGCCAGCTGGCTGGTCTTCAGGTTGTCCAACAGTCTCTCCCAGATCCAGGGGACGCCATAGAACGTGGTGGGTTTCACCTCCCGCAGCGTGTCCACCAGGGACCCCTGCGCCACACGGCACGGTGGGGGTTCCACCAGCCCCTCCGCGCCTGCCCGGCCCTCAGCCCCCAACTGAGCAGAGCTGCCCACGGCCGGCCCCCACTGGTGGCTGTGGCCACCTGCTCTGGGGACTCTCTGAGTCGGGGGTGGACGGGCAACGGAAGACGCAGGGACAGACGCAGAGATGGAGAGAGAGGGAGAGGGAGAGAGAAAGGTGAGGAGGAAGAGAGAATAGGAGAAAGTGGGGGTGACAGGGACAAACGCTGGTTTTGTCACACTACCAAGTCTTCTCAGTTACCAAAACAGATTCTCCTGCGACCACAATGACTGTGGCAGGCAAAGCAAACCCTCTGCGGCGCCCCGGCCAGCTGTTGGGCTGCGACAAGGCCAGCCCGCTGCAGCCCCAGGGCCGAGGTGGCTTTTGCATTTTTAAATGGCTTTAAAGAACTCCAAGAAGAAGAGTATCTATCTCATGATACATGAAAATGATACGAAATTCAAATTTTCGGGTCCATTAAGTTTTGTTTTGTTTTGTGTTTTCAACAAGAAATCTGCAGAAATTTTTCTCTCCCTAAGTGAGTACCTACAAGTTGGCTCCGGTTTCGCCTCTTGGCTAAGGAATCCTGAATCTCTGCCTGGTCCCTCACAGGAGATGCTTTCGGCCCCAGAGCTGGGGGGCGTCATGGTCTGGGCTACGATGTCAGCGTTCATCGCTTTTCCCTATTTCCTGACTTGATGGGAAACGTGTGATTTTCTTGCATTCAGACGGTGAACATAACCACGATGGATGCTCCATGATGTGTGTCAGTGACCTTGGGTCCTATTTTTTTAAATCGTGGTAAAATCCACATAACATTTGCCACCTTAACCACTTTTAAGGGCGCGGCTCAGCGGCATTAAGCACACGCACAATGCTGTGCCACCGCCCCCACCATCCGTCTCCAGAACTTTCTCCTCTTCCCAAACTAGAACTCTGTCCCCATCAAACACTCACTCCCCTCCCCTCCCCCAGCCCCTGGCCCCACCATCGACTTCCTGTCTCTATAGATCTGACTCCTCTGGGGGCCCCCTGTGGGTGGAATCACACAGTGTCTGTCCTTTTGTTTCTGGCAGATTTCACTGAGCATCGTGTCCTCGGGGCTCATCTATGTTGTGGCAGGTGTCAGAATCTCCACTTTATGGCTGAATAATATTCCATCGTACGGATGGACCACATTATATTTGTCCATTCATCGGTCGTTGGACACCTGGCTTGTTTCCACTCCCGTGCTTTTGATGCTAAATTAAGCTTCTTGCGCTATCAGTTTCTGTCCCCAAGTAGGGGTGGGCGTATGCCTCCCATTCCCCATGGTACTAGCTCACCCCCTTTGCCTCACAGATGGGGAAACCAAGGCCCAGAGAGAAGACCCAGGTCCTAAAGCTAGTTGGGGAGAGCGAGGCAAAGATTCCCGTTATGGGCCAAGCCCCTCAGGGCGACCACCCATCAGCTACCCTCCAAGCTCTCCCGCAGCCCGCCCAGGCAGCCGAGGAGCCCCACTCACCCTCAGAGCGCCTGGCTGGGCAAAGTAGAGTGCTCCGGCCACCGAGATGGTGACCCACATGTCGAAGATCTGGGCCCCCATGTAGCTGAGAGGGAGGTAGCTCACCAGGACCTCCTGCCCCTCAGGGGGGTGCTTGTAAGACAGGCTCTGGGCTGTGGCCCACGTGGTCCAGGTAATCTGAAAGGCACCTCAGCTGTCACCTGCAGGCCGTTTGGTTCTCAGCCCCCAGGAGCTCACCGTGGTCCAGATGACACCCAGAGCACCTTCCCGTGGCCCGCCCAGCCTCTCCGGGTGGGCCACTCACATTGTCATGGCTGAGCATGATGGCTTTGGGGGGCCCTGTGGCCACCGGCCTGTAGATCAAGGCACAGCACTGGTTGGGCTTTTGGGAATCGATGACCCGGTTCAGCGCGTCGTCGGAGATGCTGTCGGCCAGCTCCAGGAACGCTCTCCACTGCGGGAGGGGGAGCCGGAGCAGGGGCTGGGCTGGCAGGGGTGGGCAGGGCCCGGGGCCCTCCAGCGGAGACTTCAACCCCGGGGGCAGGGCGAGGCTCCCCACCCCACCCTGTCCTCCGGCAAGGACCTACGGAATACAGGTTCTGCAGCTGGGTCTGGATCTTCTCCTTGTACTGGACCATGGCCTTGAGGTGCTTCAAGCAGCCCTGGATCTGCCAGACACCAGGCGCTCAGCGGGCGGGCCGGCGCACAAAGCGGCAGCAGCAGGCCGGAGCCCCTCCCTGTTTACTGAGCACTTCCCTCGGAGGTGGCGAGGGCGAATGAATCCCCAGCTTTCCTTGTATTGTGGCAAAATATACATGAACGTACCATTTAAAACATTTTAAAGTGGACAGCGCTGTGGCATTTTGTACATGCATCATGTTGCGCAACCTTTACCTCTAATTCCAGAATATTCCATCACCTCAAAAGGATCCCCATCTCCAGGAGCAGTCACTCCCCCCACCCCACCCGCTCCCACCGCATCCTTTACTCCATCCCTGGCCTCTGGCAACTGCTAATCTGCTTTGTGTCTCTTTGGATTTGCCCGTTCTGGATGCTTCACGTAATTGGAATCACAAGAGATATGGCCTTTTGTGTCTGGTCTTTTCGCTCAGTAGCATGTTTTTGAGGCTTGCGCACATCGTAGCATGTGTCAGAACGTCTCTCCTTTTCATGGTTGAATAATATTCCATCGTGTGGATGGACCACATTGCACTCATCATCATCCGTCGATGGCCACTTGGGTTGTTTCCGCCTCTGTCTACTGTGAATATGGCTATGAACGTGAGTGAGCACGTGTCTTGGAGACCCTGCTACAGTTCCCTGGGGCCTGCACCCAGCGCGGGATGGCTGCACCGTGCGGTGATTCTGTGTTTAAGCGTTGAGGCGCCTCCGTGCCGTTTTCTGTGGGGGTGCATCACCTCGTTCCCACCAGGGGAGCACACGTCTGGGTCTGCTGAAGAGTTGCTTACATGCAGTCAAGGTCACCTTTTTAGGTGTACAGTTTTATGACTCCTGACAAGCCCTTAGTGGTGCGACCACCATCTAATCCAGAGAGTATTTACATCACCCCAGAAAGGTTTTTACGTCACCCCCGCCCGCTCGTAGTTGGTTTCTTCCTGCTGTGGCTTCTGTCCTGCGGCTTCGCTTTTCCTGGGGCTTCACGCCCACAG